AGGCAAATACTGATAAAAGTAGTGTTTTTGTAACTATGTTAATATCAGAAAAAAATTTGAGGCCAGAAAGAGACACCCTTCTGGATTCAGTAGGTAAGGGCGCTTGCTACCAAGCTTGCTAACTGAGTATGAACCAATGGTGGAAAGAGAACAGACTGCTGCCAGCTGTCCCCTGACTCCACACAACACACAACACACACACACACACACACACACACACACACACACACACACACACTGAATAAATAAGCATGAAAATTATAAAAAAAAAACTGAGTATACATAAGATGGGCACTATTATGATTAAATGCTAAAAATGTTTGTACCAACCTTCTGCAGCTGTAGCTCGGTGGCAGAGCATGTACCCAGCATGCATCAGGCCCCTGGTTGCATGTCCAACACCACCCAAAAAGGTCTTGTATCTATCAGCTTATTTTCAGAATATGTAAAAGACAAATTTAGTGAGCCCAAGGAGAAGTTTTGAAGTCTGTTATCAAAACATGAAATTCCTTTTTGTTTGTTTGGTTTGAGGGTCTCTTTATATAGCTCTGGCTGTCCTGGAACTCATTATGTAGCCCAGGCTGACCTCAAACACAGAGATCTACCTCTGCCTCTGCCAGAGCAAACATCAAAATGAAACAACAAACCAAACAAAAATGTGGATATGGATTTGAGTAATGCAGTGTTTAACTTTGCTATAATGGACTTGTAGGACAATTGTTTATCCAGAAATGAAAAATAACCCATACATAGGAAAGTTTAAATATATTTTCTAAATGTGTCAAGAAATAAATAATAATGAAAACCAGGAAACAAAAAAGGACATTAATGAAAGTAGAATCTTGGGGCTGGAGTGATGGCTCAGTGGTTAAGAGCACTGGCTGCTTCTCAAGAGGACCCAGGTTCAATTCCCAGCACCCACATGACAGCTCACAGCTGTCTGTAACTCTAGTTCCAGGGGATCTGATTCTGGCATACATACTTGCAGGCAAAACATCAATGTATATAAAATAAAAAGTAATATTTAAAAGAGAAAAAAGAAAGTTGAATCTTACCACAGGACAGGAGACCTGTGCTCCTGCGAGGACTTTGGTGGCTTAAAACAGTACTAATAAGCTGCTGTTGAAAGGTAAGCTGGCCATAGTGGCCCGTGCTGTACCCTCAGCACTTGGGAGGCAGAAGCGGCATTAAGTTCAAGGTCGTCCTCAATGCTGTACAGCATGTTTGTGACCAATGTGGGATATGTGAGGCCCTGCCTCAGATCAGAACCCAGACAAAAAGCTGATGGTGAATGATAGTTTGAGGGGATTATTTCAGAGGCACTGTATGACACCCCACACTCCCCAGTTCTCGGGAGTATATTGATTTTGAAACAAGAGACAACTGAGGTTGAGGCTTCTCAGAGAGATAACATCCCTCCGTTTCCCTTTCACAACCATGTCCTAGCGGAAATGTAAGAAGAACTTCACAAGGACCAGAGTGAAATCAGATTAAAGAGCTGATGCCCTAAACCACTCCCAACTGACGGACGAGCAGTCTGTATTACAGACACCCTGTGACCCCAAAAGAGAGACTATACAGAAAATGCACCAGGTGAACACTATGGGAGACTTCAGCAAGCAAGTATACAGCCTCAGATGAAGTCTAAAAAGCAAGAGAACCAACAGTAGAACATGATTCCTGCCAAGGTGCGCGCCTGACAAACAGGCACAAAGTGGGAGAGAAGAGCTGCCAGCTGAGGATCTACATCCAGAGAGGGGTGCTTCAGAGATGGGGGAGACGACAGTTTTTGTCTACACGGACAAAAACAGAGACAACGTATTACCAGCAGTCTAGCCTTAAGGCAAAAGCTTAAGGAAATTCTCTTAATTTTTTTCACTTTTGTTAATGTTTGTTACTTTACTTAAAATTTTAAAAAACTATGTGTTTGTGTATGTCTGTGTGAATATCTGCCACATGCTGGGGGTGCCCATGAAGGCCAGAAGAAGGCATCAGGTCCTCTGGAGCTGGAGTTAGGTAGCTGAGAGTTTCCCAGTGCGGGTTCTGGGGACTTTTACAAGAGCAGCAAGTGCCCTTAACCACTGAGCCACCTCTCCACCCCGCTAATTTTACATTTGTGTGTGTGCGCGCGTGCGTGCGTGTGTGTGTGTGTGTGTGTGTGTGCGCGCGCGCGTGTGTGTATCCGTGCGTGCACTCCTTTGAACGCAGAGGGCCAGCTGCAGGAGTTGGCTGTCTCCTTCCACACAGCGGATTCTGTGGATCAAACACATGCTGTAAGGCTTGGTGGCAAACTCCTTTGCCTGCTGAGCCATCTTGCCATTCCCTTTACGGGAATTCTTTAGATGAAAGAAAAATAGTCCCAAATGGGAATAGGAAATTTGGGGAAGAATAAGGAACAAAGGGGAAAGTGTGGGTAAAGATTATGTATGAATAACAGGGTTTTGAGGGTTTAAAAAATGTGTGATGTGGGAGTACAGCTGAGTGGTAGAACATCTGTCCGATGTGCATGAGCCCCTGGATCCAGCACTGCAAGAATATAAAAATAAAAGCAGAATTACAGTGCTTGACCATAGGAAGACCATGAGGAACGGGTAAAAACAGCTAATGTGCTCTAAGCTTTCAGAGTGAGCATATTTTTACTAAACCCAGACAAAAGGCAACAGGAATAAGCACAACTATATTAGTAACCATATGAAATGGATCAAATACTCCAAGTAAATGCCAGGATTGTAAATTATCAGGATAGATAAAAACTATCCACCCCTATGCTACTTCTGAAAATCTTTACATAAAAGACACTGGCATGTTAGAAATGAAAGGTGGAGGAAATCTAGTATCTGATGTAGACCAAGTAGATCTCAGGGCAAGAGTGAGACACCAAGGATGTGTTGTCATCACAGAGAAGGCACCGTCAGAAGAATATATCTATTTACATCCTAAGTTAGTGTTCAGTGACTAGCGCGGTTTCAGAACACAAAACGCAGAAATAGAACTGGAAGGAGATGATGGATCAATCTGCAGTAATAACAGTCAGCACGCTTCTCCCGGATACGTATAAAACAGGCACACAAGAATCAGTAACAACATACAAGGCAGAAATAGCAGGTGAACAAGCCCCTACCGACACAACAGAGCACTGCACACAAGATTCGAACAGTATCAGTTTTAACTGAATGTGGGGAGTTTTCCAAACTGACAATTTAGCAAACTTCACCAAAGTCTTGAAATGCTGAGAATATGTCATCTGGCCACACTAGGATTAAGATAGAAATTAATAACTATAAAAAGTGGTTTAAGGGTTGGATATTTAGCTCAGTGGTAGAGCACTTGCCTAGCAAGCACAAGGCCCTGGGTTCAGTTCTCAGCTCTGGGGGGAAAAAATGGTTTTACTAATGCACTTAAAAAAATTCACATCAGGCTGGGCGGTGGTGGCGCACGCCTTTAATCCCAGCACTCAGGAGGCAGAGCCAGGAGGATCTCTGTGAGTTCGAGGCCAGCCTGGTCTACAGAGTGAGTTCCAGGACAGGCTCCAAAACTCCACAGAGAAACCCTGTCTCAGAAAAAGCAGGAAAAAAAAAAAAACCAAACAAACAAAAACAGTAAACTAAAACCAAACGAAGAAAACAAGATAAAAATATTCCTAAATGAAGAAAACACATATTTTCCCAAGAACACTAAGGAGCTTTGTTTCTGCCATGAGGGAGTAACTGTCTGATACTTCGTCTGGCCTGGTAACAGATTGGCCTGAGGAGTATCTGAGTGGAGAGTCAGCCGAGGCCAGCCTCAGGAGCAGAGGTGAGCCTTACGCTCACAAAGGGCTTCTACCTAGAGGCAGCTGCTGAACCACAGCAGGGACCCAAAGAAAGCCTCAGGAGTTTGCTGAGGTGAAGTATGGATAGAAGCTTGGAGAGGCTGAGGTAGCTTGAATTGTGGAGACAGAGCACTCACAAAGGGAGAACTCTGTGGAAATAAAGGGAAGCTCCGGCAGGCCTGTTTGTGGCAGTACTGCAGAATCTTGACTGGAAGCTTCCCCTCAGCATCACCAATCTTCCTTAAAATTGCCCTGCAGTCCAGGTCTCTGCCCCTCCACGTTTCCCTCTCTCAGCCAAACGTGTTCTGTAGTGTGGTGCCTCTACCCAGCACCATGGCGCCCTTCCCAGTTTTCTTACAGGTATTTCCCCTGGCAAATCTCCCGAATTCCTAATTCTCTCTTTCAATCTATTCCTCAGACTATGTGGGCCAACACAGTGATGCCAAGAAAAAAAAAATGTTAAGCTAGGATCTGAGACTAGCTGGCACACCTTGGGTTAGTCAGAAAGGACAACATTTTGATTTGTCGCATGCACCATAAATAGATCCTGGCACAAACTGGAGCTCACAACCAAGAATTTCATCGTTGATGACCTGCAGGGTGTTCTGTGAGGAATTCTCTGTCGGATGCGATGAGGAGGGCCTGAGAGAGACGGAAGAGAAAGGAAGACCACTACAGGGATAGAGCTGACGGCTCACTGGGCTGTGCTGACCCTAGCACAGGAACAGAGACTGAAAGCTCTTTTGAAGATTTATTTATTTGTGTGGGTGCATGCATGCACGGGTCCACGGAAGCCAGAAGACTGGATCTGGAGTTACAGGTGGTTTTGAGCTGCCCAGCGTGGGTGCTGGGAACTGAACTCAGGTCCCCCGCAAAGAGTAGCAGGTGTCCCTAAGTGCCAAGTCATCTTCCCAGACTCAGAGTCCTTAAGGAGTTGAGGCTGGATGTCAAAGCCAGTGGCCGTGGTGTCTTAGGAAGTCTCAACAGAAGGACGGATTCAGCTGTGCAGGAGGGGGGGTATGTGTAATTGTTATGGTTGCAGGCCTTCAGGGGCTCTGAATGCCCAGCACACCAGTGGAGGGAAAGCCCAGAATGCAGAAACAGAATGGGAAGCCAAGTGTAGTGGTGCACGCCTTTAATCCCAGCACTCTGAGAGGCAGAGGCAGGTGGATCTCTGAGAGATCCAGGCTGGCCTGGCTTATAAATTGAGTTCCAGGGCAGCCAAGACTGTTATACAGAGAAACTACTGTGTCCCACTCTACCACAAAAAAAAAAAAAAAAAAAAAAGGAGGAGAAGGAGGAACACAGAATGGGAACATCTGGTGGATGTGCATAAGGATCCTGGCGCTGGTGCAGCGGCCCTTGGTTCCTGTGGGCTTGTGGAGGTGGCACAGTTTTCCTTTGTAAGAACTAGCTCCTCCACCTTGCTGGGTGCTGCAGATCTGCTTCAGTTGCTGCCCTGATTCATACTGCGATGTCAGGTTGAATTGTGATGTAGCTCCATTGAAACCATCCTGGGCCTGATGAGGAAAGAGAGAGACAACAGAAGAATTAAGTAGCTTGCATGTGGCAGGAGCCAGGGGAGCAAGAACGCTTGGAATTCATTTTTTAGGGTGTTTAGTCAGAGATGAGAATGTACCCCTAGATAAAGACAATTCATTGACTTTGACACATTTTCCCAGAATGTAGGTCATAAGGCAGATCTACCACTGAGGTGACTCTAAGAAGCTTGGGAAAAGATCTCAGCACCCGGGGGAATGGAAAGGCCTGAATTGGCATTTATAAACGGCGGAGGAAGGCATAAAGAGTTGAGTAGGCATGCTAGAATACATTTACTGTGTAAAGCCAGATGCCCAAACAGAGCACTGTTCCACATGAGGCCACAGAAGGTAGCACCCACCCACCGAGGCCGTCAAGGAAGCCCCACCACACAGCAGTGCAAGCCTTGTGTGCTGAAAACCATAGCAACAGACTCTGATGCTTTCCCAGAGAAGACCAACCAAGTCCTACATGTCAGCCTCCTCTGTCCTGGGAGAACTTGGCTTTCATCCTCATGGGGACAGTATAGAGCCTGTGTGTAGCTGTGTCATGATTGCATGTGGATTCTTACCTGGGGTTCGTAGAATAATTAATCCCTGGATATGGACTCCCACACAACCCAGCACTGGACCTCTTCACAGTGAAGGAGGTAGGGAGGGCTCTTGATCATGGTGTTCACTGGTGCTGTCACATGGAGTCCCACCTAAGGCATCCAGCCTTGTGGAATGCTGGGCCAGCCTTTGTACATCAGAGCAAATACATGACAAGAATGCTGGACTATTCTGTGGGCTGTGCATTAAGTCAGAGACCTTTTAGAGGGCTGGGTCCCCAGCAGGCAGGATACTTGAGTCTGGGAGTCTCGGCATGGAACCAGAAGTAGTTCTACTGACCATCACTCCCAACATTGGGGTTGACACCCCCAATTTAGAGGGCTTTGTGCTCCCATACCTGTAGTCTTGGGCTTTGGAGACTTGGAATTCCTTATCTCCAGAAGGCACGCTGCTGTCAGGTAGCCTGGGAAACTGTCCATCTGTCTATCTGGAGAGATAAACTGCCAAGAATTAGAATATTAAAATGAGCACAAATCACAGGATATGGGGGCACTCATCTGTGACCACGCCACTCTGAATGTGACTGATCTCAGAAGCTGAGTGGCGCTGGCCCTCGAAGATACTTGGATGGATGAAGGGGATATGCCAGCCACAGGGGGCGTGTGGTGAAACACCACGGCTGACCAGGAGGCCTGGCGTACGAAGGGAAACCAGGCCAGGCTGTTTACTATGGCGTCTTGGGAAGTAACAGGAGAGATGGGGTGAGATGTTTTAGGATGGTGGTTTGTCTTAAGACAGAGTCTTGCTATGGCTGACTTGGTACTTGATACACAGCCCAGGTTGGCCTTGAACTCATGAGCCTCCTGTGTCAGCCTCCTGAGTGCTGGGAATACAGATGGGTGCAATTACCTTGGCCAGAATTGCTGGTTTGAGTCATTTCGGTGGATTTGCGGTGAAGCGGCTCTCGCATTGTCTCCTGGCTGGTGGGTGTGGCTACAGTGGTAGAGAACACCCTGAGTGTAAGAGGCTGGTGAAAAGGTGTCTGCGCCTAGGCTCTGGGGGAGTTGTTTGCCCTGAATGGCAGTTTCAAGTGAGGCCTGCACTGTTGCTAGGAATTGTCTCATGCTGGGGCGGGAGTTGGACAATAGTCCCCTGAGGATAAGGAAGACTCCATCGTGTCAAAGCATCAGAAATACAGAAAATACAGTCTATTGAGAGGGCTGTGGAGAACATCTAAAGTGGCAGAAAACAGCTTCCAAAATGAGAACACGTTCTGCAAATCATATACCTGATAAGAGACTGGCATCTTCATAGAATATATGAAGAAATCTACAACTCAACATAAGTACTGTGTTAGTTGGTTTTTATTTTGAAGAGGGACCCTCAGTGAGGAGTTTCCTGGATCACATTGGTCTTGACTGATGATTGACGGGGTGGGCAGACCTAACCCATAATGGGTGGCACCACCCCTAAGCCAGCCAGTAAGCTGCCTTCTTTCGTGACTCCTGCACCAGGTTCCTGCCTGGGGCTCCTGCTCTGACTTCCCTTCTGACTGTTTTCAAAAAGGATTAGCTGAAACTGACTCTTTCTTTCCCAAGGTGGTTTTTGTTTTTGTTTGTTTGTTTTTGTTTTTTCTTATAGTGTTTATCACCGCTCAGAAAGCAAACTCAGACAATTTATCCGATTTTAAAAATGAGCAAAGGACACCCACCGTATCAGATAGGTCCCTATCCTTACAACTTCAGTTAGCCTTAATTAGTTCAGCAAAAACCCTGTCTGCAAAACCAGTCCGCATCGGACAAGAGTGGGAACCGGTGGGTTACAGCTCAGCCCATGCAAATCCCTTTGCTCACTTAACGGACGTTTATTTTCTCATAATTCTGGAGGCTGGGGATCCATGATCAGTATCAGCCTGGAGAGGGGCTGGTAAGGCCTCTCCTGGTTTGCAGGTGTTCACTGTCACTGTGTACTCACACGGTCCTTCCTCAGAGCATGCTCAGTCGTGTTCTGTTGTTAATCTACACCTTGAATGATTCGGTGTGTGAATGTGGGTTATGGAAACCCACACTCATTAAGACAGGACTTGAATAGACCTTTCTCTGAGGAAGATGTACAGGGGGCCAGTATCTTCAGTAAGCTCAATATTTTTAGTTCTCAGAGAAACGCACATCAAGCCTCAAATTGGGTACAACTTTACCATCCCTTAGGCTAGACAGAGTTAGAAGGTCAGTTAATGACAAACACTGGTCAGAATCTGGAGAAACTGGAATCTTCATACACACTGCAGATGGGTTATAGAGTGATTCGAGTGTTTTGGAAAAAAGTCTCATCAGTCCTCCACTGCTTGCAGAGTTCTACTCCTGTATGTGTCCAGTAGAAGTGACAGTATGCGTCTACAAAGAAACATGAGCTAAACTGTGTCATGCCCATGGAAGGGAGTAACATTTGCCCATAAAAAGAGTAAAGAGGCCCCAAGATGGCTCTGCAGGTCAAGGCGCTTGCTGTCCAAGCCTGGTGAGCTGAGTGTGATCCTCAGAGGGAGAGAATCAACTCCATAATTGTCTTCTGCCCCCCAATGCATACTGTGATACACGCACCACCCCTCCACATCACACGTGTGTTCACACACACACACACACACACACACACACACACACACACACACACTAATGGTAATAATAGCATCTTAAGGAATTTACTGGTACATGGTACAATATGGAATAACCTCAAAAAAAAAAAAAGTGAAAGAGAGCCAGGTTTGGTGGTGCACATTTTTAATCCCATCACTCAGGAGGCAGAAGCAGGTGGATCTCTGAGTTCGAGGCCAGATTGGTCTATATAGTGAGTCCGGGGGCAGGCGAGGCTGCAGAGACCTTGTCTCAGAAAACCAAAAAAAAAAAAGAAAGAAAGAAAGAAAGAAAGAAAGAAAGAAAGAAAGAAAGAAAGAAAGAAAGAAAGAAAGAAAGGAAAGAAAAGAAAGTTACAAGAGCTACTTACTATTCGTGTGAGGTGTCCAGTTTAGGGAAATGTAGCAGGGCAGAATACAGGTTATCAGTTGTTTTTGGCTCAATATAAATGCAATGTGTGTGGAAACTGACATTCCAACCCTGTAAATGGTTACAGTAGATATAAATGGTTCAGGAAGGAAAAGAATATGATCAAAACAGTATGCAAAAATTTTAAATACATAAATGGTTCAAATCATCAACAAAACTGAGAATTATCCGGTTGAAAGAGTACGATTCACTAGTAGTTAGACTACGAGAAACATGCTTTGGTGTGAAGATGCATTATAAAGGGAAAGGAAGGGGAAAGCGTGCTAAGAGCAGTCATTGGAGAACTGAAGTGTCTTATCTGACTGAGTCAAGTCCTGGACAAGGAGCGCAGCGATAGAGATTCGCCAATGATAATCCATTCTTAACATGCAACTATTTCAAATACAAATGCGCTACGAAGGGAGCCTTAAGATGCACAGAGCGATGCTGGTAGATGAGTTCATAAACATAATGTCTTTCAATCCTTTAGTGTTTGGACCACTGAAGCCATGGCCTCACACACGCTGGAGATGTGCTCTACCGAGCAGTGACAATCCACCTCTTTTTGTTCCTTTTCTTTTGAAATAGAATCTCCAGCCGGGTTAATCCCAGCACTCAGGAGGCAGAGCCAGGAGGATCTCTGTGAGTTCGAGGCCAGCCTGGGCTACAGAGTGAGTTCCAGGAAAGGCGCAAAGCTACACAGAGAAACCCTGTCTCAAAAAACCAAAAAAGAAAAAAAAAAGAAAGAAATAGAATATCATTAAGTGCCAAGGCTGCCCTTGAACTCATGCCTAGACAGGCTTTGAACTCATGCTCCTGCCTTAACCTCCCAGGTAGCTAGGATTACAGGCCACACCCCCTTCAGCCCCCTTTCAAACAAGTGATAGGAAAGTTAGTGGAGACCCAAGTGATCTGAACAAACCAGCCAGCTTGAATAGCAGGTGCTTCTAGAATACGACACCCCAGATAGCTGAAATACACATTAAAAAATATTTCATATTTTTATTTATATGCACTTTCTGTGTCTGTGTACATGTATATTTACATGCACTTTCTGTGTCTGTGTACATGTATATTTACATGCACTTTCTGTGTCTGTGTACATGTATATTTGCATGGAAGTGCCACAGTGGCTGGAAGAGGGCATCAGATCCCTTGGAACTGGACTTACAGGTGATTGTGAGCCACCTAATGTGGGTTCTGGGAATGAAATCCCAGTCTTCTACAAGAACAGTCTTCTACAAGAACAGCCAGTGAAGCCGGGCGGTGGTGGCGCACGCCTTTAATCCCAGCACT